TCTATCTATCTATCTATCTATCTATCTATCTATCTATCTATCTATCTACATGACGTGTCAAGATGGTTTCCTGGAATTATTAAGCCTACTATATAAAAGTCAGTAACTGAGAAAGTTAGCCCCAAGTCGACGCCTTAATGGCCTTGAATTACACTGAAGTTCTGATATTTAGTTTTTACCATGGCTGTAAAGGGCATATAGACATGTTAAACAACAATCAATTTGCATGGAGAATTTACAGGGTTCTCTCATTAAAATGTAACTGTAAGTGCAATAAAAAGAAAGCAATAACGTTAATCGCTGTACATTTTGTATACTTCTTACGATAGCTTGTTGTAAGGTTGCCTGTTGATCAATGGGTAGTTGTTTGTAAAATGTCTGCTGGACAGAAGAGTGTTTCTAATAATTAACTGAATCAAAATCTTCAAGTGGTTGTCAGAATACAATAGTTGCACAAAGAATTCTGTGAATTAGCTCAACTCCTCACATAAAAAATATCGATGAGACGTTGATACAAAGTTAAATACTTGTATGAAAAAAGAAATAACAATGGAGAACAGAGTGCTCCATTTCCCATTGCCCAGCTAGTTTGCCTGACTTTGGTTTACTAGATTCTTGTGCTCACATCTGACATGGCATGGTGCAGATGTCTTGCGTCGTTGTTAGTGTCAAAATTGTTCAGTGCCAACTTTAAGTGTAAGAGCATGTTTCCAAAGCAACTGTCCTCAACTTTTCTGTGCATTAGTTACTTCTTTATAGGTGCAGATCAAAATGTTGGTATTTTGTCTGCTTTTGTATCTGAAGGTAAATGTCAGCACTGTTAAGTTTGAATTTGCATTTTACATTATGTGTGAAACTCAGTGCTGTTTTGTTTCACTGGATCTGTTTATAACTCACATAATTATTGAACTGCAGTAATAATAGTTCAAAAAACAAGTGAAAGGGTACAAATATACAGCAAAATTGTATAACAAGTTATTTTCCTACTTGTCAGGTCTGTGCAAGACATGCAAAACTGTCGCACTTTCTCTCTTTCGCTGATAACTAAATATTGACTACAACATTTGGGAAATAAATCACTTATTACACAATTTCATGTGCAGTATCGAAGTATAATTTTATTCGTTGTTTGTGTATTGTCTTGCTCATCAAAATACAGCACATTGACTCATAATAATATAGAGTAATGCTTTGTACATCAAAACATCTATTAAGATATATGTGCTGTATTGCATTGCATGGTATGCCATAATAGCCATTCCCTCCATGAGATGCACCTGTAGGGAGACATGATGGTAGTTGTTTTAATCATCTTGGATTGGATATTTGTTTTTATAAATACAACTACCATGATTCCCTGCAGGCGCATCTCATAGAGGGAATAGAGCATTGCAAGGTATTGTATTGTATTGTATTGTATTGTATTGTATTGTATTGTATTGTACATGTATACATCTATCAAAAATTGACAACAAACATGGACTGCAGTGTATGACATTTGCAAACTACATTCAGGCCTAAATAGTGGCCTGGTCAGCCTAAAAATCACTCTGCTTAGCCTAAATATCACGCAGGCTAGCCTAAATAATGCTCAGGTTAGCCTGTTTACGGTTAGCTCTCGGTAGTGGAAATGAGGATGCCGATAATGAATAAAAAGTGTGCAGTCTGGAAATGTCATAGACCCCCTGGATGTAAGTCAGCTAGCTACGTGTATCAGTCTACAGCAAAGAGTCATTTGCTCGTACAGAATATCTTGAAGAGCTATATAGGTTATTTCCAATAATTAAATTCAGAGTGAAATAAATTTGCAAATTAATATATTCTATTTGATGAGACAATTCAACACATTGCTTACCAGTATCTTCACCAAAGAGTGTTGCATTTCCTTGATTTGTAGTCTACAGACACAGTGGACGTTGGACCAATCATATCAAATATTGCAGGGCCTGGAATTTCCTCCACATCATTCAGTTTGTCATGGAGTAGTAGAACATCATTTGTGTAAACTAAAACATCGTTTGATTCCAGTTTTTCATAGTGTACATAAGTTTAATATGTTGCGATGTTGGCAAGTAAAACACAGTTAAATAAAAATCGCAAGCATAAAATTCCAGCATCCCCGTTGAACATGTGATGAGGTAGACAATCAATTATTCGCAGATTGATCTTTCCATTTAATACGATAACAAACAGCTCCAGTAAGTTCAGCAATTCGACTGAAATCACATCCCAATGTGACTATTTATAGCCATGGCTAAAGGAAATTTCAATGGCTTGCGTGACCAAAGAAACTCCTGTCACCGAGGAAACTCGGTTAGCAACACCTGAATGAAATAACAAGGAGGCATAACAAGGCATTTGTTGGTAGGTAAGCTTAAATTCTCGAGGGCTGTGTAGTTAACTTACGAAGAAAGGAAGAAAACGACATAGTGACTGAGAAATGGATAATAACTTAAGCTTACCTTGAAAATTAGAAACCAACTCGCGACGGAAAGCTGTCCAAATTATTCGAAACAGAAAAAACGTTTTTCGAACTAAAAAATCACTAAAATATTGAAATCACGTTGGAGGGGACTGGAAAAGTGTGGGTTGCTATGGGAACTGAAATTATTATAGTCGTAGGTGTGTTGCATGTAGAACTAATAGCCTACCAAGTTTCAATGGTTTCTGCTGCAAATTGACCGAGATAGCTCTACTTTTATACTTGATGTAATATTTGGTTGAGTGTATGACGTCATCAGTCCTTTCATTTGCCTAGTTAACACATTTTCAAACTTAAACATCACCAGAACCAATGCAGATATCTGCATACGGTAAACGGTGTTTTTCATCTTTCGTGGAATTCTATGATTAACCTAAAAATTCAAGGGGTAAAAATTTGATCATAGTACCACTTAAACTGAATCATTAACCGCTTGGTTTACATGTAAAGCGTCTCCGAGATACAAACAACTGTTCACGTTGACCACATTTATCTTCCACTACGTAGTAGTGTAACAAGACTGGGGTGAACCAAAGGCTGGTTTACACTAGCGCAATGCCATAAGCATAAGCCGACATACGCAGGTGCAGCACGATGATGATAATTAGCGCCTTTTCTCAAACAAAAGTCGCTAATTATCAACATCGTGCTGCGTCTGCGTATGTCGGCTTATGCTTATACTTATGCGCAAGTGTAAACAAGCCTTAAAGAGTTTTTTGATAAAATACTTACAGAATGTTACTTAAAAATGTTAACTACTGCAATAAAGTGACAACTCACAGACCGTTTCACAGAAAAGAACTAAAAAGATTTAAATCCCATTTTATTCAGACGTGTTTTTAGGGTTAATTCAGGCTCGGATATAAAATGTAGTAATACATAATGTTAGCTGCGCGTAGCTGTGTTCACCTCACGTTCACGTAACTACTTGCGCTAGAGTGCCGCAGAAGGCCTATCTCACTCTGCAAGAAAATGAACGATGTAAGGTAAACAAATTAAACAAAATAAGTTACTAATCAAGTCTGCTTTGCTTTTTCAGCGGTAGCAGAAGTCTATCAGGAAGAAGGTGACAAAGAATTTACAAGAAAAGAAGTTTGTAACGCGATATACTTCTACACAGACGGAATTCATGTGAACTGTAAGGATTTCCAGCTGAATGCCAAGCTACACAGCAACAGGGCAACAGCTTATTACCATCTCGGTAAGATTTTGATCTTGTCATTTTCAAATTTATCCGCCAATCAAAAGAAGTTCAAGTGTTGCTTTCTTTGAGTTCAGCCTTTCAATGATTATAATAAAAACTATCATTTGAAGAGACTATCTTGGGAAACTAACTTTCCGGGGAAAACTATCAGTCCAAAGAAATAAATACTTAATTGTCTTTCATGTTCACCGGTAAATTTTCTGGTATTTTTTGAATTTTCGCTTTGTTTTTCTTTTTTTTTTTTATGCTGAGTTTCTACTTCTTTGGGTAAAATTAAACTTGTATGTGTAAATTAAATACAATTCTGTAAGCCAAATATTGAACCGCAAAAACGTAAAAAAGTCGTTATATTAAAAGATTTGTCTTCCCTTTACAGCCTCAAACTTCTTTACGCTCGATTGTTGTTTTACTGTATCGTAATTCATCGCGGTTTTCAGCCTGAAAACTACTTATTCGTTCTATTTTAAAACAGAAATCCGCACAGAAGCTTATAAGCTCTTTAACTTCATCTAAAACAAAATGATATATATAAGAAGGTGTGTTTCATGAGCTACTTCACTAAAGGGGTACTATAGACTGATATTCGCCAATGGGTATACCACCGTCTGATAGTGTCCGCGCAAGATCTTATTGTGTCATCGGTCTAGGCCAACGCCACCAGACAGTGCCCCCACCCCTCCCTGGGACGAGAAATGATCAGGTTTAGCGAATCAGAATGAGAAAATTTAGCAGTGAGCCAAGAGAGATGCTAAGTGATGATGCTGCATAATGAATATGTTAATTGTATTTGGAATGTCCCTACTATCGACCTAAGACGACCGGTGACAAAGGTTGAATTCAGCTCGCTTCAAGCGATGCTAATCCAAAACCTTATTGGTCTGCTGTTTAGCTTGTCTTATTTTATTCCCTTCAGATCTATTTTACTCTGCTCTGTTGGCGAAGAATGGTTCAAGTTTTACTGTTTCTCAGTATTAAACCTGATTAAACACAACCGTTTTATTCCCTACTGCCTGGTCGTTTGTTCCCATCATCCGATGACTCTCCATAACGTGCTCTTGGAGCTTTGAGTTATCGGGAGTCATTCGTATTTCAAGGATCGGAACAGATCCGTTGCGTGCCACCAAATTGATAGGGGACTGAGCATTGAAAGAAGACACGCACATTGCATATCTCTACAACCTCGTGAGCTCTTATCGCTTTTACTTTTTCGCTACTTCTTCTTCTACTGTGCATGAAATGTTTTCTCGGTTCTATTACTCAGGGAATTTCCACGAGGCCCTGAATGATGCAACGGCTGCCGTCAATTTGGAACCAACTTTGATTAAGGCCATAGAAACAGGTAAAATCCTTGACTCAACTGATTTACAGCATGAACTTTACAATAACTAAAGAAATTATCGCGCGCTCGTTGGCTAATTTTCATTGTCAATAAGCGAACAGACGCCTGAATTTATGAATTATGCGACGTTGACGCGACAAGCAAAAGCGGCTGAGCGGACAATCTGACAATTTATTATTATAAAAAAAGTATTGACGCAAGTTTTTCATACGTCTGTTCTGTCATTGACAACAAACTGTGGATCCACTCGGCTCCTACCTCGTGGATCCACAGCTATTTTGATAATGTTATGACGGAATTCATGATCATAAACAGGACAGACGCATGAAAAACGGGCTTCAATTTGTTAAGTCGACAGCTATCGTATCGAGCTCTTCAAATGCAAATGACATTAATATCTTTTCAACGATATTCCCTCGCATGAGCCTCCATTGCAAGCTATTTCGAGTCCAATACCAAATTACGAATATGGCTTTTTACAAGAATAAATCAGGTTTTGGATGTTTTCACCTGTGCATTGTAGATATTATTTTTTGACCTCATATTAAATTATTTGTCGTAGGTGCAAGTGCTTGTGAGCACCTACAATGTTATGTTGACGCCATATCGTGGTGCGAGAAGGGATTGGCAGTATCCTTTATAACATCAATTATTCATGTTTTTTGCCAGCTGTAAAAAGGAACTATCATGTTACCTTTAGGGATTCTAGGGAAAGTTGTCAAGGGATAAATTACAAAAAGTTGTGTTCTCTCTGCCTTATATATATGCCGCTAGAATCGCGCTAAGCATAATAGGGCATCAAGAAGCCTTATAGCTGTGGTTATGGTAGCTTCAGGCTATTTACAAAAGTCACAATGCTTTCAAAGTAAATTGTAATTGCAAAACCCTAAGGAGGCTTCTATCAAACCCTTCTCCATTGTACAGTCTTGGGAGTATGAGTTGTTACTTTAAGGGGCAACTTGATTGAAATTCTCATTAGGAGAAACGAGTAGCCATTTCTGACTTAAAGGAAGAATCGTTGTAGGAAAGAATATAGAGTTTGAAATCCACTTTTTATACGCTCAGTTGCTTGGCAACCTACAAAACAACTTAGAGATTAAAGTGTGTAGTTTTATCTACTCACTATTTCTAGGCTGCCTTTTCTTCAGATCAAAAGAGCCACCATTTTTCTAAGTGTTTACCAAGATGTGATTTTTTTCTCACACTAACTTTCACGTGAGGTCAAATCCCTTTGTACTGCAAGATGCCAAATTCTCATTCAAATTCCCTACAAAAAATACCCTTTGTTTCTTACAGTCACGAAATAAGTCACTCAATGGATAACTAGGCCGTGTGCAGCATTCTTCGCCTGTTAGGTGTGCTAGTTTACATTAATTTCTGCCCGCCCGTGTTACTTACCAATTTTTAGATTATCACACAGCACTAGATAAATTAATTTTTCGCAAAGGTACATATGTTGTTTACTGGCTGGGAGGTCCGTATAGTGAGCTGAAAGGCCCCATGCCTGGGCTGTCTCGTGTCACTTGTGCGAAGGAATCCACTGCCCAACCCAACAATTGTAATGCAAGCGTAACGCTAGATCAACTAGACAGGATACATATTCACCTCCGTTAATTTTACGAATAAAAGGGGCCGATTCGACCCTAGCCTGCGAACGCAGACGTATTTCCGGCTGTCGCTTGTCTTCGCCGAAAAATAACGTCTGCGAACCCGAGCGAGGAAACGAATTTGTGACGTAATGACTTTTGTTTTCTCTTTGGCCAATCAGTTTCCATGATAGAATGAAACTCGGTTCTCCTCGCGGGGAATACCTCGCGCAGTAGTTCTGGGGCTATTTGAGCTAAACTGTGATTGACTAACAATTTCTACGCCACACAAATCGTTTCCTGGCTCGGGTTCGCGGACGTTATTTTTCGGCGGAGACAAGTGCCAGCCGGAAATACGTCTGCGTTCGCAGGCTACTTCGACCCTTATTGCTAATTAATTTTTGTGATTTATACCTGTTTGCTTACTCTCGGAAAGTACGCATTATACGATAGTTTTAAATCGGCTCATTGCGATCCCTAGATTTTTCATGTCTTCCATCTCATTTCAGATTGATCAACACGACGATATCACCCGATATGAAAACGTTACCGAGACCGTAGTTAGAGATAGGAAAATCCCGACCGCGCTAAAAACTTAATCAGATAGCAGGATTCGTTACCGTGACCTCTTGGAAAAAATAATATAAAATAAATATAAGTAGTTAAAAATATTTCTAAGTACATATAACAACAGTCTCCATTGGGCGCGAAGATATGCTCGGATATTTGTCCACGGAACGAACATATAATGTCCGTCGACAAATATCCGAGCATATTGTCTTACCAAATGTAGGCTATTGTGTCTATTATCCTTCAAATGTTTTTCGTAACAAGCCCAATTTTGAAAATTGGGAAACATCACTCGGATATTCCCCAAGCTGGGGAATAATCAGTCACTTGACCCGTTATATTTTAATTATGTCATGTGCCTTAACTTTAAGCAGATTGACAAGACTAACAAGACATTACTAGATTTACGAGCCAAGTGTGTTGGAGATCGAGTTAAATTACAAGAAGCAAAGAGCAATCCCGAAACTCACTCTGTGAAGGGCCAGGTAAGTAGTGCTAGAGGAAAATATATTCTAGGCTTTAAAGGGGAGATTAAATAATGCCGAACTTGATATATGTTGTTCAAAAAACCTCTTGTACGAAAATGCGCGGTGAAACATATACTTCTATTGCTCACTAGAAGCAAAGAGCTAGCAAGAGCTGTTAAGGTATAACAATGACTCGAGCAAAGATAAATTACATTTTGAAAATTAACATAAGACGAAATAGAAAAGATTATCTTTTTGTTTGTATCCGGTTTCTCTATAAATATACAAGCATTCTATCACTAATGTTGTTCTCTTATTCACTACGCTACTTAATATCTATTCTATTGAAGAGTGCGAGTACTCTTGCAGCCTGTGGTTGTTAACAAAATGGCGGCCGCTTCTTTACGTTTTTGAAGTGCCTGTGAAAAGAACTTCAAGTTTTTTTAACAACTTGTATATTTATACTCAAGCAATTAGATTATTCGCTCTCGGTTTGTATGCGTGATAGCTGAGTTGGGCTGAGCCCTCGTCATCAAGCACGTGATAGAAATCTCGAGTTCATGATGTCATTGTCAAATGGAAACGCAACAAACTTAGGAGAACTTATGCTTATGCTTATGTCAAGTGAAAACGTGCTGCTGAAATCATAAGCATATACATAAACATCGTCCGCCATCTTTTTTTACGGTATCGAGGAGATAGAGAATGAAAACTAAGGCGGTTATCCATTCTGCGATACGTTTGTGCTCATCTTTACGTCAATTTGCAAGTGAGAAGATGTATGAAAATGTATGAAGATCTTCGGCAAGACTCCGCTCCGCATCACATTCTCACCTCTCTTCTCGCTGTTTGAAAATGCGATAAGGCATGGTTTCTACTGTGAGCAACTATTGCTAACCATACTACTTCAACACGTACATTCTTGGACAATTTAAATCAAAAATTAAGACCACCCCTCGCCCCCATTTTATTGATAGAAAAAATGATGCGCTTCGGGTTTAGGGCCAGTTCATCAGTGATTACGGGGAAGTGGTGGTTTAATCTTTTATTTTATTATGTTCAAGATTGTAGATTGTTACCTGCCGTTTCTTGACTATTTTATATTGTAACGAGTACATATATATTATCTTACCTTGTGTTTAATATTTACAACTTTTTCACTCTTTATGTAACTATATTGTTAAACTATACTAAGGCCGCATCCAGCAAAACGCAAGCATTTTGACGTCTCTCCTCTATGTCAAGGCAGTAAAACATTAAGATTATTAATATTGTAACCAGCCACTGTTATACGGAAGAAGAGTACAGATTGGCAGCACCCTGGAATAATTGGCAGCATAATTATATTTTGTAATTCTAGACTTCAAAGAAAGCCATCGCAATCCCAGGGCAAAATTAATATACTTTGGTTTTGATTTACTCGCTTAAATATGTTTGCTTTCACTTTACAATACTTTTGCTGCTACTTTACACTAAAACAATAACATAAAAGCTACATACACTACTTACAATACAACAGAGCTATTAACACGACTTGCAGTACAAGACAGCTTCTTTACCCTACTTACTTTTAAGAGTCCCTGTCCATAAAAATGGAAAATAACTCAGCAAGGGTCGAAAAGTCGATTTCGCTTATATTTTCATGGTAGATAGGCTAGGGCATGGCAAAAACTACTGGATAGTTTTTTTGGCAAAATATCGTTTTATTTCAAAGAAATATGCAAATTTCCAAATTCCGTTAAAATCGCCATTTGACGCACCATCTTATTAACCAAGTTTGAGAGCCTCGCATGCAAAACCACATCATTCTTCCGTCTTTAAAACACTCAAATATTTTTTTGCAACGTTTAAATGTGTACTAGGTTGATTTTAGGGAATGTAGCGTTGTCTTTTTTGGTGCAAAATAATTAAATTTCGAAGACATGTTTTTCATTCACTTAAAAGTACTTCGTGAATATAATAAATTTTCACCATGTGCGAAACCTTCAAATGGATTAAGCTTCCGGTGGTTGA